GAAGTTGTGCTAATATAGATTTCCTTTTACATTTACACACAGTGACTTTTAAAAGTCAGTTTCATTAAATGAATGGAGGGCTCGTCCCCTTACACTACTGAGCTACAGTAACACATGTCCTGCTTTATTAAATAACATGTTTGCTGTGTCACAACAAACTGTTGCACTCCGTCCCCCAAAAGCACCCTGACTCATTCACACTACTACTGTTGAAAGTAGCATTTTAAAAGAAAAGTGATCTCTGTCCAGACGATTGTTTCAGACATTATATCCGTCCACACTACCTTGGCTGAAAATGCATTTCCGAAGAAAGTTCACATACACTGAGCATGCATGTGAGGATAAAGCATAAAGATGACGCTTTTCCAGCAACATCAGACACATCTTATATGTGACTTTTGTATTTCAAGGGCGGCTGAGGTTTTTCTATCATTCTGTAGCTTACCAGTGGAGTAACTCATTTATTCAAATCAGACCAAGACGTTGCTTTCTGCATGATGACACTGATACTGGGGTTGGGGCGTGGATGTGTGAGGCACGAGTTCCTCAGTAACATCCTCTGGCCTTTTGATATAAGTTTGAAGACATAGATACGTCCCAACAGGTCGTTTGTATCTCAGCATGGGCCTTACAAGGTTCAGGGGTGATTTAAAAAAATTTATGGCGTACTTTCAACTTTTCAAACGGCCCAGACAGGATATGTTGAATGTCAATATTTTTTGTTTAGAGGAAGTGAGTTAGCATATCGAGTGACCTTTATTGAAATTATGTGGTATAATTCTGAGTATAATAAGTGAAAAGTCCACAAAGGGCGACTGGAAGTGGTGGTGGACGGGCCAAACGCAAACTTCATAAACTTCAACATCCAACATGGTTTGCTGAAAAGTACAATTCCAACATTTCTTTTGCTAAATTAACCCAAATTATATAAAAATGTAATTTTTTAATTTGTATTATTTGGGTAAGAAATGTAAATATTAACACCATGATGTGTTTCATCACAGTACAGTTATGTAATTTAGTTTACATCCCCAAGAATAGCTGTAACCATAGGTTTTAAAAGACGTCCTGATTCTCTGTTGATCTCTACGGACCCTCGTGTCCTCGAGGATCTCCTCCTCAGTCCTCTTCTCATCCCTCCATCCACTGCTGCCCCCGTTTGCATCCACACATACTACTAAAATAACACTAGCCAGTGTGCTGAAGGAGGCCACGCATTTCATTAGATCTGATAAAGACCATCATTATGTATAAGTATATAACAATGCGTGACTTTGAAATTCATTAAAAAACCTAATAATTAAATTATTACAAAGCTTTTGGGATATGATGCAACTGAAGATCATGCAGGAGGGATTTAGAGGGCTGCCTCGAATAGAAGAAGAAGGTCTTCTTCTGCAGAGAAATACAGTTATTTGGTTCACTTGACCCCAAATGATGTGTAAAAAACGCTGATGTAACATGGGACACTTTGAGGTGATGTCACATTCATTCTTGATGACCATTAAAACGTCTAAAGTGTGTCGGTTTAGACGGGAGGACAGATAGAGGAAGACCGGAGTAACAACCTGACAGAGCTCGAGCTGTGGGGGGGTTGGGTGGGAGTGTCAGCACTCGCGGGGTATGCATTCTGAACCTTGTGTGTCAAGGTTCAGAATGCATTTTTGGAATTTGTGAGGGGGTGTGCTGAAGCTAAAGCTGGGTGTTAAGCTGTGCACTTTAAGGTTAAGGTAACAATCGTCACAGTAAAAGGAACACATGTTGAGAAACATGATGTTAGCATCTAGCTCATAGCACCACTATGCCTCTGTACAGCCTCACAGAGCTGCTAGCATGGCTGTAGAATGTAACGAGAACATTCAAAGTCAATGTAAAGACACTAATTCATGCAAATTTGCTGTATACAAGAAGTGGACGTCGTGATGTCACCCATTGGTTTGTGGACTGCCGTTTTGTACAATTGAGTTCGGCGATTTTGCCGTCGCCATCTTGGATTACGGCCATCGCCATGTTGTTGTTTTTGCAACCGATGAACGGACGTTACCATATTTGGAATGCGAAGGAGTGACGTAGAGACACCGTATATGGCTCTGGTAGAGGCAGTGACCTGTCAATCACATGAACCCGCCCTAAAGCATCCCCTGCTTTATGGTCTGTTTGACTCTAAATGGACCATCATTTACTAAATGAACATCATGCTGTATTGAAGAAGACTTGAAACTAGAGATTGACACCATAAACCCATGTTTACAATGTTTACTGAGGTAATAAATCAAGAGAGAAGTAGAGTCATTTTCTCATAGACTTCTATACAACCAGAGGAGTCGCCCCCTGCTGGTCACTAGAGAGAATGCAGCTTTAAGACATGAAGCATTGGTTTCACTCGGCCGAACAGGTGGTTACCGCCTGGTATCTACATTGAGGTAAGCCCCTCCTCCTCTCTGGTGCGTTTTGAGTAATGTGAGACAAAAATGAGCTTTGTCTTGAGTCTCGTTGGAAATGCAACGGTTGGTTGGTTGGACTGTTCTGACATCACTGGTGACTACTGTCGAGGTTACTGGTTACTGCAAACCTCTGTTCTGTCCCTCAGGGTTGTTTCTGTTGGCATCTCAACATCCCTGTTAACAGAAGTAATGGTATATATTATATTATATATTATATTTACTATTTTTAGAAGCTCCACTATGATGTGAACAGAAGGCCAACATGGAGGGTAAACTGTGTGTTGACGCGGCCCTACTGTGAGTTCACTCCTCTCTGTCTACTTCACACACACGGAATGGACAGAATTGGATGTCCTTGCAGTAAACGTATCTGATCAGTTGTGACGTTCATGTTCCCTGTCCAGCCGGCAATGTGTGAGTGTGTGTGTGTGTGTGTGTGTGTGTGTGTATGAGAGAGTTAAAGGTTTCTGCTCTAATGCACCTGCTCAGCCATTCAAACTGCACTAAACACAGCCTGAGGCTCTTCTATCTTCCTCTCTCTATCTGTCATGCTGTCTCTCTGTCTCACCCTGTCTCTCTGTCTTATCCTGTCTCTCTGTCTCATCCTGTCTCTCTCTCCCTCTCAGAAACACTGCTCACTTCTGTCTATTTCCGTTTCTATGTTGGAAGAATGAACATTTAACTAACTTTGACTGTCTGTGTGTGTGTCTCTCTCTCTCTCTCTCTCTCTCTCTCTCTGTCTCTCTCTCCTTCATTTCTTGTGTCAGAAAATCAATTTTTAGTTTAGCAGGAATAAGCCCATCTCCTCTCATCACAGAGGCCGGTTGAATAATTCAACACACACACACACACAAAGGACTAATGCTGAAAACAGGTGCCATGCAACGTCTGTGGACGCTCTGAGCTCAGCGAGCAAACTAAGAGTTGGGGATAGTTTAACTTTTAGCAGCGAAGTGGAGCCAGAGAGAACCCACAGCCAATCAGATAACAGTCCTGTGACTGCTGTTGACCTGTGTTCACACATGAACACGCCTCCTGGCTGCTGTCTGCTGTGTTTTTACTGTTTGAATTTACACTAAGAAAACGGGATTGTTGAAACTTTTTTTCCAATTTGGTGTTTGATGTAACAACAAATCAACCTGCTTCCCAATATTATGTTTACCTCAAGGTTCTCTATGTGGAACTCAGAGCATTTCTATTGGCACCACACAGCTCTCAACATGGCAGCGGCTCAGCTAGCAGCTAACAGCGCTAACAGTGCAAACAACAGCAACAGTGCTGACAGAGCTAACAGTGTTGAGCTGAGGGGGGACAGGAGGGTGGGCTTACACCTCCATGACAACGCTGTCAGTCGGGACGGCTGTAACCGAATGAGAGCAGTGCAGAGCGGCTGTGAGCTAACAAGTGGGGCACGCTCACATGCACTAACATGCACTTTTATGAACTAAAAGCAAGTGCGGCCAGCTCTCCACACACAGAGGGAGAGAGACTTCATTCTCTGCTCAGGAAGCCATTACTCTATATCTTTACATATATAAAGGTTGTTTGCTGCTTTATTAATGTTCTGAATGTATAGAGAACCTTTAAACTCTTTAAACTGAAGTTGTTAACAAACATGTTAGTGTATTATAGGGCTTTTTCACTGCAGGACCTGCCATTAGAGAACTAAACTACCGGTGACGTACATTTAGTTCCAGGAGGACCTGGAATGTTGGACTTCTCAGTGGTTCAAGACTTCTCAGTGGTTCAGGGACTTTGCTGATTGGAACAAACACAGACTCTGCTACTTCCTGTCTACATCTTAATTCACAAGATAAGGAAATACCAGATGCCACAGGAATCGATGACAGGACTAGGGACAGACGTGACTTGTAATGTTTATTAATGTTAAAAACAAAGTTATGTTGTCGGCTTCCTGACTCGTTTAAAAATAGAGCAAGATCTATCATGTTACCTCATCTTCACAGTTCTTCTTCAAGACCTGAAGTTCCTTAATGTAAAACTGATTCTTAGTTACCCATGCTGACCTCTGCTGATCTTTACTGACAATCACCCTTTCACTTCTTCCTCCATCTGCCGCTGGTAGAAGCACTGAAAGCTTTACAACAGCACCCCTTCCGGGTTAATGCCATAAAGCAACGCCCCTATGTGCCATAAAGTAATCCAGCAGGCTGAGTGGCCCCATGCAGGGAAGCGTGCACGTGTGCAAAGCATGTATCTGAGCAAAAATGGTAATCAGTAACAACACACAAGTCAATATATAATAGAATAACGGACATGAAGACCTCTTTTTGATAAAAACATCAGTGGAAATTCACATTTGAATTTGACATCATGTTTTTTGGTGCAAATTAAGCATTTTATTGACAATATTCACAATAATATTCACAATAAAGACTTTATTTAGACGACCTGTGTGTGTGTGTTGTGAAAAGAGGTTATGTTGTGCAAGTCTGCATTTTATCCTGTGTGTGTGTGTGTGTGTGTGTGTGTGTGTGTGTGTGTGTGTGTGT